TGCTATGAAATCTTTAAAGGAAACAACTTCAAACCATTTTGTTGTATCGTCAAGGTGAATGATACACAGAAAAGAATGAGTGCTTAATATATTTATTATTGCGTCTTAGTGGCTTTATTGCCTTACTTAGGGTGAAATGATTAAAAATATATATGTATTTAAATTACATATCCATTCAGGACGGAAGTGATCAGAGTTTCCGTGTCTTTATTATATGCGAATTCCCATACCATCTTCGGAATTATAGAATGGTATCCCGTTGCCTTTTCTACGATTTGGAATTTAGAATTTTCCTTCTCTTAGACTGCTTGCTACCCAAGTCTAGAGAGTTCAGTCTACCCTGCTAATTAATCTATAGCTGGGAGAGGAGAGGCTGGTTCATGATTTTCCTTTTGGCATTTGGACGAAAGAGAACGTAAGAGGCTAGTCTGGAATTTGAACCCAGCTCACCGATTTCGCATTCGACACTGATATTCATTACACTACATGCACATGATCAAATAAAGCTTTTAACAGCAGTTTGAGTGTTAAGTTGAATTAGTGAGTGACTCAAAGATAAGTTCTGGTTCTATTTTAATTCTGTTGAGTTAGAAGACTGAAGACTGAAGTGAGTGAATTAAACTTCTTCACAGAGATGGTGTAGGTGCTATTCACACCATAACAACAGAAATAGCTTCGTGTTCACGGAAATAAAAGCATAAGTCGCAGAAAATAAAACTTGCAGAGATATCAGTGCACCCCTGGTAAATTGTACATTCATATCATACAATTTATTTAATTTTTGTTTATACTGGTGTGTGCATTTTTTGGCTTCAAATGTTCATGGTGCATGTAATGAAAGGAAGAAGTTACTCCGTATTATTACATGTCATGCCAGAGAGAGAAGTTGGACACGTGTTGCCTGTCCGAAGGTTCGTGGCGAAGAGGTTGAATTTAACATCTTTTGGCGTGATATCCGTATTTCCGTCAGGAACAGTTTTTGTTGCATGTTGGGAGAGTTTTTATTATTTTTATTTGAGAAAAATGTTTCAATGTTATTGTTTAATTTTATTTTATTTACTGTTTAATTTTTATTTTATTTATATTTTGTTGTGGAAACGGTAATAGGCAAGCGGCACAGTTTACGAGGATAAGTGTGAAAGATAATGATTAACCGTAGACTTGAAGACGTTGTGATCGGAAAGCAAGATTCTGTTCCACAAAGCAAAAGTTCTCTGGAAAGAAAGCTATCGAACTGGAACTTACTCATTATTAATGAAATAACTATTAATATCCAGTTAAAAAGGAAATAAAAAACTGATATTTTACTGTTTTATTGTTGAGGCGACCAAGATAACGAAATAATTTTTTTAAAATTCACATAAATGCCTATTTTATTATAAAGGTGTTGTAGAGTAGCTAGCACCCCTTCAACACTCTACCAGATGGCCTGGCTCATGGCCTTAAATAGTCTACGATTAAGGACTTCAATAGTAGATTAATAAGTTGATACTAAGCTCATTAATATTCAGACTGATCTTAATTCGTTTAGCTATACAGCATTTGAACCTCCTCTATTCCTTGTAAGTTGTCTTGCTAATTGTTTTCTAACATATTGTTCTGTGCATACTGGTGCAGAATAAAGATATTAAGCACTCATTCTTCTCTGTGTATCATTCACCTCGACGATGCAACAAAAGGGTTTGAAGCTGGGTTTTTTTGTAAGATTTCATAGCAATTTTAACATTGTGCTGGGAGAAAAGTTTAAAAGATTTGGCGAAAAAATAATGACTTAAATTCCTCAAAAGTATCCAAAACATCTTTGAAACATTTTGTGTTGAAACAATAATGAGGAGTAGCTGAATAAATTCAAATATTTTTCTACATCAAGTAAACAGAACATCTTTAATTATAGACTAGTTCCATATAAAACCAACGATATCACGGCTAGGGTTTGAAACAAACATGTAAAAACCTTTATGTAATTTGGTGGTAGAAGAAAGAGATAAAACGATGATCATTCAGATTGTATGTGTGTGTGGTAAAATATAGTTTTAAGGGATGCTATATTTATGGGTAAAAGCTCTTAATATCAGCGACAGAGCGTATGTAAATATAAAAGTGGACACCGCTTGGTGTTGAATTTAGTGTCAACTTATATATATATATATATATCTGTATGTATTATGAAGTGGACTAATGTCTGACAATTATTTTAATATATTTTCTGTTTATGCGTTATTTTTATAGATACAATAGATAATAAACAGTATTAATTACATTTACCGGCTTGAATATCCGAGAAATTTCGTAGAAAATGTGTTCTCTAACAGGAATCGAACCTGTATCCTACACGGAACTGTCATTTGGCCTGCCTTGCTATACCATTTACCTACAGAGGAAGCGTCTGGTTAGCAATGTCAAATGACTGTTTTTAAACGGACAACTTTTTACATATTAATCATTTCACCCCATGCAAGGCGTTAATACCTCTAAGACGCAATGGGGTTATTGGAGGTGAAAGAGAATGAGGATAATAAAAGAACAAAATCCAGGAAGACAGAAGAATGCGATTGACGCTGCATTTAAATTTTTGAAGCTTGTAGGTGGCATGGAAGCAAGAAACCGGAAGAGAATTCCACGGGTGATAAGTGCGAGAAAAGAAACTATTAGCATAGGATTTACGGTTACATCTAGTTATTTCAACATTAAAACGATGGGTCCTTGTGGCTAATCTAGAAGGACGCTTAAATTCATGTGGCCGCGGTACCAAGGAGGAGAGCACATTAGAACAGCTGCAATGAAAATATGCTTAGAAAAGACAGAGGGAAGCCATGTCAGGGCGGTGGGAAAATGACTGAAGTGGAGTTGCCAGATCAGGACTAATAGCATTACAGACCCCCTCCTTTGGATTTTGTCATGAGTCTTGAGAAATATAGCAAAAGCATCAGACCAGAGAGGGCAGCAACATTCAATTCAGAGACGATTGGTAGGTTTACAAATGTACAAGATGGATTCTAACGAGCAAAAATTATCTAGCACGACACAGTGAACTAAGTTTTCTATTAGAACACCTTACAATTGATTCAATATAATCATTCTTCTTCATGTCAGTGTAAAACGTGAGACCATGAAGGCGCAATGAGTTGCTCACTTGGAGGTTAGCATCAGCCATAATAATGGAAGTTAAAAATGGTTTTCTATGATGATTAAAGGATAGAAATTTCGTTTTGGAGGCGTTAAAATTTACAAGCCATTTCTTTCTCCATTTGATTGGAGATCAGCTGCCAATATTATTTTGTGGGGTGTATTGGACTTAGTATTAAGACAGGGGTAAATAGTTTTGTCATCAGCATGTTGAGAACTGATTACACTGGGAAGGTCGTTTATGAATATAAGAAACAATGCAGGTTCAAAGATAGAGCCCTAGCCGACCAACTCGCATTAATTTGAAATTTTCTAGAAGCTTGGCTGTTCCACACGATTTCATTACTTGCTTTGTTAAATTTTTTTTTACATATTGCTTACTACTAACTCTATTTCTACTGTACTCCCATCCTTTAGTCATTTTATGCTTTAGAAAAACAATAATTTCTGATGGTAAAGGAAAATTGATTAAACGTTGAGTTTTACCATTTTTACGTCAAGTATATTGTTAGCAAGGTTCGGTATTTAAACTCTATGTTATGAATTATGCGTTTCAAATTAAGAGGACATTAATGGTGAGATAGCCGTTTCCTTATAAGGAAACATTCGGTATTTATTGACTGAACAGTTAGTGTTACTGACGGTCTAAATTTATAAAAAAACTTTCTTTTGAAACAGTTTTTAAGGAAAACAGGATTCTCAAGTTCACTGTCATCGCTCTTTCTAGTATTGCTGAGGAGTTTCCTTCCTAACCTTTTGGTTAAGGTAATGTGGAAAAAATAATTGATTATGTCAATATTATCTCTTCGAGTTGCATGTACTATCCATTTTAGTTGCTGCTGCTTGTGAAACTCTTCAACTGGTGTAGTCCTTGTTGTCTGGTTACATTTTATTTGGGATCATGTAGCGCCAGTCTGTGAGATTTGATGAAGAATAGTCTTCTTTAAAACCCTCATGGTTCATTCGCTTGAAAACATTTTTATTCATTGATCTGAAAAAACGGTTATATGTAGCTGATAATTTCGACATTTCTGAACGTGTTTGATGTCACCCATGACAGTTGAGATATGACGAGGTTACTTGACTTGAGTTCTCAGGTTAATGTTTTGGTTTTCTCTCATCGTAAGGCGTTGAACAAAGGTACAAATAGCGTAGCCTCTTCTATGTTTAACTTCCTTCTCTCCTATATTACAGTTGTTATAACTGATCTATACACCGATGTATTTGAAATGTTTAGTATTAATTTCATATTCTGAGTGTTTATGATGGATTCAAGTTAAGTGCCATTACTGCTTTCATTCCAGCCCAGATCATAATTTCTATTTTGCTTTCGAGAAGTTTATTCCAAACCCTATTTCTTGGAACACTTGGTAAAGAATGTTAATATTCTGTCCAAGATAATTCTTATACCAACTATGAATAACTATGTCATCAGCATAACCCCGCTCATCATCAGTACACTGCCCACGGAGGTGGGGACATAAACGCCGCTTTCTATTAGTAGATTTGTTTGAGGTGTGATATGGATTTTTTTAAATAATCATGGCTAATTTCTTCACATGCTTACATACGCAGAGTATAACCTAGGAAAAGATTAAATATGATTGATTGGTTTTGTACGTCTTATCAACCCTTTGCAGGTTATTTAAAGCCAGAAAATATTTTTTAGATTGTAAGAAGTTTTTGAAATAATAATGATTTAGTGATACAAGTCTTACTAATTAACCCATAGCTTGGGGGAGAAGAGTTGGATTCATACCAATCCCAAGGGTATTTGCGCATAAGTGAATATAACAAACCCAACGGGAATTGGAACTCGGCTCTTGGATTAACAATTCCGAGCGATTATCCATTACACCACTCGCACATCCAAGCTTGCAGAAACTGGTGTTTCCAAGCGGTCACCCATCTAGTTACTAACCAGGCTCGACGTTTTTTTTAACTTCAGTGATCGTACGGGAACTGATGTTTTAATGTAATATGGCCGTAAGCCAAGGTTAAATAGATTGGGACTCTCAATTCCTCCTGATGAGGTTTGTAATGATTCGGTGTCTGTATAATCACCAGACATATCCGACTTTGTGGAATGATCAACGGTTAAGAATTAAGTAGTTACTAACAGCACTCCTAAAATGACTGATAAATTTTAAATGTTAGACTTTTAAATTCTTTTAAAATTGAAGCAAGTCTAAAAAATAATTCGCTTTAATTTCCGTTATAATAATTCTGGCCGCGTCATATTTATAATGTTACAGACATTATTTACTTTGTTCTGAAATAGGATGCCCATACAAATATTAATAAATCGTTATACATTAGCTGACATTAGCAGATTCTGAAGTTACGAATGAAGGCACTAAAAAGATCATTAATAAATAGAAAAAAATATCAAAGATTGCGTTCAGCCTAACATAATAGGATTTATAAAACAGATATTAGAGAAAAATCATGATTACAGCTCGTAACATTAAAAAAAGGGATAAATACAGCAGTGAGAAGTTCAACAAGGAAAACATTTAGGCGCATTTCAAATAAAGACAAAAAACAATTACAGGCGAAAATTCGTGAACATAGTTATACAGAGGACACCTAAAAAGAGAATAAGTAAGCGGATGAGAAAAAAATGCACCAGAACCAATTATATCAAAGCAAAAACCGATAAAACATAGAAAAATAGCAAATGTCCTTTTGTGGAGTAAAAGATGAGATTGTAATCGATATCATAAGCGAGTGCAGTAGACTGACAGAAATGGAATACAAAAAATTCAATAAAAAAATGGACACAACATAGTAGGATCAGGGATACACTAGGAATTGTGCAAACGGCTAATGTTCTATTATGTAAACAAATGATAACCTGAAGCTGATATTGAAAAATAAATAAATAAATAAAAATAGTAAAAAAAAATAAAAGTAAATAAAAAAAGAAAAATAAATAAAAATAGTAAAATATTCTGCGATCCAGACAGACTATAAAAAAACAAAAACAAAAAAAAAAAACAGAAGCAGATCTGGTTATAGTGAATAAAGAAAAGAAGATTTGTCAAATCATCGATATGAATGTGCCATCAGGTAAAAGAAAAACCAACCCACCCACCCCCGAAAATGAAAAAAAAATGGTTTTCATAATATTTAGAGGACCTGCAGTCATATCGATGCTACAGAGGCAAAACTGTTGATTGACGATTTGAATAAGGATTGGTATTTCAAATTATGGCAGCACTGGAGGAGTCATCAAGAATACAAGAGGAAGGTTCTGGAAATTTCCTGTCACTTGTTTTCTACCGACAACATTTGATTTAAAGAGAAAAATGTATAAAATGAGAATAAAGAATTATTATTATTATTATTACTTTATCTTACAGAAAGCGCTACATTTTGAAATTTTCGCTTCTGTCGCTTCTAAAATTTTTAATGTTCTCCTTTTGCTTCTAAATTTTCAGAAAGTCTGTAAAAACTTGAAAGGGTTTCTTTTATTTTGCTGGCTTTTACAGTTTTTGAATTCGCTTCTCTTGATTCTACAAATGCAACTGCACGCACGTGACATTCTTTTAGCTGATGTGCATGCGTTTCATACGTGAATCATTTACATGTATGTAAGGCAGTACGTGGATAAAAAAAGAAAGAAAGATAAATGTCTCGATAAAATGTGTAACTTTTATACAAATTTAATAATATATGCGTACGGTGTTTCTTAACTCAATTTAAATGTACAAGCAACTCTGTATGGGGTGGGGGTTAGATTGTACACATGGCAAATAAGCGTGTGTTTAGACATTTAAAATACTGGTCTATTAAAAAATCTGGTTAGATCTAGCAGTTTACAGCTTAGTAGTTCAAGCATAGTTTGAATAGTTAAAAGGTCTTAAAGTTTATTTATTTACCATATATTAATATAGTGTAAAAACGTTGTCTGGGGACCAGAAAAGGTTTGTTTGCAATCAACCAAAAACAAAGTCAATAACAGCTATACAGATTGTATCGCCCGATAGAATGTTCCTTTTTATCTCTTTTAAAAAACTGTACCTTCCAGAAGGGGCGAAGTTAAGCAACGTCGAGCCTGGTCAGTGCCTAGATAGGTGACCGGAATTGCACGGAATTGTTAATTTTTTTCGTTTTATTTACTTATGTGTAAATACATTTGGGATTGGTATGAATCCACTTCTCCCCCAACTATGGGTTAATTAGTAAGAGTTGCATTACTAAACCATTTTATCTCCCACCAAAATTTTAAAAAATTGTTAAAAACTAAAAACCTTTTCTGGCTTTAAATAACCTGCAAACGGTTAATAAACCGTAGAAAACGAATCAATCAATCAACCAATCAGAACGCGGATATCAAGTAAAGTCCTCTTCAGTACTAGTCCCTAGTTATAATCATAGTGACAAATCCAGAAAAAGAGTATAAATGTATATACACCGATGTGCTGGTATATTCCAAGTTGATTTTACAAGTACATAACTAATCGCAAAAAGAAAGAAATATTTTCGTTCCAATTTCTAATCTTAAGCCCATTTCTCCTAAGTCGATCGTTTGATAGCGAATTCAGTGGTAAGAGGCTTTACAGTATTGTCTGATTTTTGTGTTCCAAATTCGAGCAACATGTCCTTTTTTTTTAATTCCGTCAGCTTAGTAACTGACAATCCATACAGACAATAAATATTACGAGCGTTTAGTGGTAGAGCGGAGGACTAAGGCTATTTCTCTTCATGCATCTTTTGCGAATATCCTAACAGTGGCGGTCAGAGGGGGATTTGGATCGTCTGCGGCACGAACTCTAGAGGCCTTCTTCTCTGGATAGGAGGAGGTGAAGTGACCAGTCTCTCCACACCTCCAACAAGTAGGTCTTCTGCCAGTCACAATGACCGGCATTTTCCTGCCGCAAAAGTCCAAATAGCTGGGGACGGAGACGAAAGCCAAGCATGAGCATGATGTCGAAGCTCGGCTAAGGTTGTCGGAAGTCACACCTAAAATTTGGCCATACTGTATGATGAATGCAGCCAGGTGCTGTTCCGACACCTGAGGACGGACCTCAAATCCTGCGCTGACTATCATACTCAGTCCGTAGAATAAGGTCATTCGTAATCAGCTCTCTTCTGGTCATATCCAAGCAATCTTCGGATGTCAGCAGCAGTACGTCCAACATAAAAAAACAAAAAACAAAAAAACAAAACAACAAAAAAAAAAAAACAAAAAACAGGTACTCTTTGGCGTTTGACCCCCAGGAACATGAGTGATCGAATTACCGTGTCTTTTGTGGAGCAACAAATTGCTTGTCCACCACGAATACCGACACCATTCTCTTTTCAAAGATCTTTCATTCTTGGGGGTCTTCTAAAAGTTCATCTTCTTTTACAAGATGTACGAATTTCTTAGCCATTTTAAAAAATTCCGCGATGTTTATAATGCAACTTATATGGGGGGGGTCTTACAGCATGAGGTTGATTCCTTGACTCTCGTATTCTTCAGTGCCTCCTTGAATTCGGCGCATTCTTGCTTTTAACTTTGTTTTTAATTCTTTTGTCATCATTATTTTTTAGTTCCTTATTGACATCTTCAGATTTTGGGAATAATTCCATCCGCCAGTCACATCTTGTTTTTCTTTTATCTGGTGGGTCTTTCTTAGTAACAAACCCCCAAAAGGTCCATTTTTTTTTAACCTCCGATCAACTTTTGTCGGGCATACTGCTATTCTTCGTCACCAATAAAACTTTAGGTGGGAAAATTTCCTTGGAAATAAATTTTATAGTGTATTGTGGATAGGAAAGGAGAAACAAAACATCAACAAAAATAAAACTTAAAATCCAAAAGTAATTTTTTTTTTCTACAAAAAGAAGTTAAAAATTAAATCAACAATACAAAGATAAAGAAGAGAAAAAATTAACAATACAAACTAAAAATATATACTACAATAAAGTAAAACTGCTTGACTTAAAAACGAATAAAGGGAAATAAACTTACTAATTTACAATAAATCGAAAATAAATTAACCAAAAAATGAAACGATTTAAAACTAAAACTTCGCCCAACGACGAAAAAATAAAAATAAAGTCCGCTGAAAGAAAATAAAAGTAAAAAAAAAAAATAAAGTTCGTCGAAATAAAGTTCGACGAACAAACAACAATAAACTTCGCCCAAGAAGTGTTTAAACTAAAGAAACATAAAACTTTAAGAAAAAATAAAATAAATCAAAGACTGGGAAGACTAGAAGGTAACCCAGAGAAATAAAATTAAAACTCGGTCGAAACCGAGGAAAGAAACTAAAAAGATTTAAAAAATAACAAGGAAATTAACTATTAAAAATGTCAAAAAAGAAAAAATAAAGAAAAAATAAACGATTTCTATTCTAAAAATTTTCGGTAAGTCTTTTTTTTTCTCAAATAACAGAAATAATAAATAAACGTTAACTATAAATTAAATGCAAATGAATTAAAACAATAGTCTGGTTAGATTTTGTCAAACTAGACTAAAAAATAAAGATGGCGGCCAAAGCCGAATGTAAAACTGAAAATAAAATGACTAAAAAGAAAAAATACAAAAATTAAATTCAAGCGAAAATGAATAAATGAACAAAGAAAAATTAAATCAAAGTAAACTTATCAGACAGTTTGGGGGCCCAAAATAAAGTTCTTTGTTCACGTTGTTCAAAAGGTTACACTTGATCGCAACTTTCACTGGAGAGCTCCGTCCGAGAGCACTGGTCTGAAAATAGGTCAGATAACATCGAAAACGAGACTACTAAAGTACCATAGCAAAAAACTCATCCGAACGATTACCAAGTATTTATAAAAAAGGTAAAGAAGGGCAACCTTACGGCAGTGGGCAAGTGACTGAAACCGAACCGTCAGATCAGAATCAATAATATTTCTGATTCTACGTTGGATCTTATCAAGGAGCTCCAGGTAAATGGCAGAGGCACCGGACCATATGCGACAGCAATAGTCTAAGCATAGACGAATGGTAAACTTATAGAGAGATTACGGAGAGAAAAATTGTCTCGCTCGACACAGTGAACTGACTTTCTATTCAGCTGATCTATCAATGAATTCAATGTAGGCTTTCCACCTCATGTCAGCTGGGAACGTTCGCCCGTGAAGATGCAATGAATCACTTTTTTGTAGGATATCATCAGCCATACTGATGGATGGGGTCTCTAAGATTATTAATGGAGTGAAGTTTAGTTTTGGAGGGGTTAAAATTGACAAGCCATCTTTTGCCCTAGTTAACGATGGCCTTGAGGTCGTTTTGTACATCAGCTGCCTTTTTGACGTTGTCTGGTTGATCAAAATTACTATTGAGGCAGGAGAAAATGGTAGTGTCATCAGCGTAGATACTAAGTTGAGAGTTGTTGTCATCGGGGATGTCGTTAATGAAGATTAAAAAAAACAGTGCAGGACCAAGGGGGACACCCCCGTTAGTACGAAAGGATGCAGACGAGTGTCCATTCAGGACAGCTTTCATTTCATGATTTGGTAGGAACGACTGGATCAGCTCAAAAACGTGCCTGGATATACCGTAACTTTTCAACTTGTGGAGAAGACCTGAATTCGAAACCCTACCAAAAACCCTCGAGAAGTTAAATGCTACAGCCCAGGCTTCACAGTCTTTATCTAGAGCATGATAGACTCTTTTCCGCAATTATCGTCAGTACATCAGCAGTTCATCTGGAGAAACGAAATCCGTATTGCTTGTCCGAGAAAAGGTCCTGTGATGAGAGATGATGAACAAATTATGCATTGATTAGCGGATCTAGGAGTTACCTCAAAAGAGTCAGAAAGCTAATAGGTCGATAGTTGGATGGGGAAGACGCTTCACCAGAGTTCTAAAAAACTGGAACAACAATGTCTTATCAAGTTATGGTGTTACCAGAAGTGTTGAAACGAAATGGCTATTTCTGTAGTGATTTTATAACATATTTATGTTACAATTTTCGAATAAATTATATATATATATATATATATATATATATATATATATATATATATATATATATATATATATATATAGAGTGAGCTGAAAAGTTTTCAGCGTAACCTAATGACCTGGTATAAACGGATTGCAGAACAGTAAGTCGGGGTGTACTAAAAAGACAAATGGTATGAGCTACAAAGTGTAGGGTTCGTGGAAAGGGATTTAAAAATAATATTTGGTCATTTGTTCAGGTTTGGGGAAGTGTCGAAAGGTTTTCGGAGAGTTTTTCAGCATCCATGAATATATTTCTAAAGAATTAATGGATTTATATTTAATCCAAGACTTTTTATTACTTCAGACGTTATTTTTATTGGATACCCTTGTTTGAAATAGACGCCCTGTTGATTTATTTTAAACTGTAGCTATTACGTCTCTCGGCCTGTGCCTTAAACTTAATAAAGAAAATTGCGTCCCCCAATCGATCCGGGGTGCTTTTATGAAGTTTTCTCGAATATGTAGGCCGATAGATGTAATACACACCATTTAAAATAAAAAGGGAGTCTATTTCAAAAAACGGATATCTACTAAAAATAAGGTTTGAAGTAAAATATATATAATTGTGGGGCACCAATAAGGATTGAACTCGCTATAATCTACAAAACTATTTTAGGGGCCTTGATGTGGTACCCAGTATTTCTTATTTTAGTGAGTTTAATTATTATGAGTGCTCAAAAATTTTGACCTTGTGCCAGACTCAGCTAAGCTTAGTATATGTCGATAAATAAAAACATATATTTTCCGACATTTAGGAAATGTTCTCTGCGCCATGAAAGCTTACACATCAAAGAAGAACAAGTAAAATATTTTAATTGGCTCACATTGATTTGAATTATATTTGTTTTTTTTTTGTATTTGTGCTTATCGGAGTCTACGACTTAATGCCTCATTTATTTACTGCTATAACCTAAAGAGATGAAGATTATATATATATATATAGAGAGAGAGAGAGCATTTTATTTCTTCTTTGTTTTATCTCCAGTTTTTCCTTCTATCCTTTTTGTCTTTGTAACTTTCCCTTTCTCTGATCTCTAGTTTGATCTAGCTTTCTTTCTTTTTTACTCTCCGACACAGTCTTCGCCTTTCTTTCTTTTCTTTTAATAATATTTGAATATTCTTTCTTTCCATCCCTCTCTCTAGTTATTTCTTTCATTATTTCTCCAGTTTTAAAAGGATATATATTTGCCTGTTTCTTCTCTTTTCTGTGTAATTTTTTTTGTAGCAGCATTCTACAATCCATTTTGACTAAAAAGATGAAAAAACAAAAGATAAATCTCTCCAGCACAAAAAAAAAAAAATCTGGGCGCCTGCTCTAGAGTAATAACTTTAAATGAAAATGTCACGCAGGGATCAGCACGAATTAAATGAATTAATCATACATTAGAATCTGCACACACGCACGCATTAACACACACACACACACACACACACACACACACACACACACAGAGGAGCATATTCACATATATGCGCATACATATGACCAATATTTTTTAAAATTTATTCAATAAACGTGTTCTTTGCTAATAAGACACATGCACACTCAGACACATATACATATATATGTGTAATCACATTTTCATATACTCCAATATATTTTGTATTGGTGAGACATATTTGAATTTCAAAATAGACAGTGTGGATCGGGGAAAATGGAGTGACTGAAATTTACCTGTAATCAAAGGGGTGGTTCGAATAAGATTGGCCGGGTGGATTTTTCTCCAAGACGAATAATCATCCTGACTTGTCTATTAGAAACTCAAATCTAAATATAAATCCATATATATATGCTAGGCTCAAGCAAATATAACTGGACACAAACATATAACCATATACACCTTACAACGCGTTGTTTTCTTTTTATTTTAATCATTTCTTCCCAAGCAAGGCGATAATGCCACTAAGACGCAAGATTGGGTTATTGGGAGTGAAAGAGAATGAGAAGACTTTAGTGAGGAGAAAAGACAATAAAAGAACAAAATTCCGGATAACAGAAGATGGCGATTGACGTTGCCATTAAGTTTTTTTGAAGACTACAGTTGGCAGGAAGCAAGAAATCGGAAGAGTTCCACAGGTGAGAAGTGCAAGAAAAGAAACGATTAGAATAGAACTTACGGTTATATCGCGCTATTTTAACCGTAAAGTGATGAGACCTAGTTACCAATCTAGTAATACATTTAAATTTATACGGTCAAGATACAAAGGAGGAGTCTAATTCAAACAATTGGCATGACAATATTTAAAGAAAAGACAGAGCGAAGCGACGTCCCGACGGTGGGAAATTGATTGAAGTCGAGATGCCAGGTCAGGACCTGTAAAGTTACAGACGGTTATTTGAATTTTGTCGAGAGTCTCCAGATATATAGCCAGAACATCAGACCAGATATGACAGCAATATTGAATACACAGATGAATGGTATATTTATAAATGTAAAAAGTTGCACTCTGAGGTGAAAAATTGTCAGACACAACACAGTGAATTAATATTCTTAGCAGCAGACCTAGCAAATGATTCAATACAATCGATACACTTCATGTCAGTAGGACCAACAATGCGCAATGAGTTTCTCTCTTGGAGGTTAGCATCAGCCACGATGATGTAGGGCAACATTTTTCTATATGATGATTAATGGATAGAAGTTTAGTTTTTAGGCGTTAAAATTCACAAGCCATTTCTTGACCCACTTTACAACTGATTGGAGGTCATTTGATTAGTGAGCAGCTACAAGTTTTACTATATCCGGTCTATCGGACTTAATATTAAGACAGGAGTAAATAGTGGTGTTATCAGTATAAATACCTAATTAGGAACTGATGACATTAGGAAGGTCGTTAAGAAGATAAGAAACAGCGTAGGTTCAAGGATAGAGCCCTGGGGGTGACACATTCATGTGAAATGATCTAGAAGCGTGGCCGTTCTATATGATCTTCATTACTCGATTTGTTAAGAACATTTGGATTTTTTTCTGTGAATCGGCTTTTTTATTTGCCATATCCTGAAAGGATTTAAGAGTTCAAAGCTCTCCACAGTTTCCTGTCCTTTGTTGCGCAATCATCCTTCTTTATATTTGTTCTGTTATCTATTCACTTAAATTCGTCAACTATGTTAGTCGTGTTTCCCCTCCTTCACTGCTCTTGCTTTTTGTATGGCCCGTGAATGTTAAATTCTCCAAACATTCTTTCCTCATGATACATCCCAGAAGTTTCGGCCGTCAATTTCTGATTATTTGCAGCAGTTTTCTTGTAGTTCATATTCTTCTTAAAACTTCCTTGTTACTCAATTCTTGTGTTCTATTCATGGTATTCTCAGGATTCGTCGGTAGAACAATATCTCTTAATACTTTGCTTATTTTCTGAAAGGTATATTTCGCTATTCCAATGCGGCTTCGGATTTCTGTGTCATATTTTTACTGTGTAGTAATTTCCCAGAAAATTAACTTTCAGCATCTTCTTGATTTTCACGTCCCCGATATGTAGCTCACACATTGGGCTGTCTCTTTTGTTAATAACCATGAATTATGTTTTCTTACAGTTAATGATTCATCATTTATTCTTGCTTTCCTTTATTGTTTTCTTAATAAAGGGTAAAATATTACCATGTATAATATTTATATCCTGAATAAATTTCTGTAGAGTTTCCATTATAAAATAAATGATGAAAATTCCTGTAATCAAGTCAATTTTAACAAGAAAATTAAATTACCTATTACAAAAAAATTTAAAACAGCTAACCTTATCATAAAAAATAACAACACACCTATAAAATCAAAACTAAAAAGGACCAACATTATTTACAAATTTAAATGCTCCTTAAGGAACTGTGTTCCTGATCAAACCAAAGTCATAAATAATTACATCGGTCACACTACCACATGCCTATCTAGACGACTTACGTTACACCTATTTGACCACAGCTCCAATAGAACTCATTTAAACACACACAAAAACCTATCAGACTCCATCCGAAAAATACTAGTAGAAAATGCAAGAATAATAACCTCATCCACATGTAAAATATTAAAAATAATGGAAGCCCTAATAATAAAAAAGGACATTAACATTAACTATGAACACGGGCACAATGTGCTGACCGTGTTTGGAAAATAAAACATCTCTATAACTCCAGATACATACATAACACGACCCATATATTCAGTTAAAAGTAAAATAAATTGATCCTTGATAATGGCTAAAAGTATAACCGAAGGCGCTCGGGAATGCAAAACTTATGGACAGTTTTTACACACTTTGTGTCTAGAAAAGAAAATACTTGTACGAACACAAGAAACATTAAATAAAATGCTTAATCGCACTACCTTGTTAGTCATCTTTAACGAAACACACACGCACACAAACACACACACGCACACACACACACACACACATATATATATGCTTGGATAATCTAGACATGTTTATCTTTATTTTAATCCTCTCAAATTCACGGATCAATTTCTTAATGTTGTTATTAAACTTATTAAGGAATGCGGTCTAATTTTCGTCATTTCTTTTACTTTCTCAAGTACTTTCGATCTTATCCAAGATCATCTTCAGGGGTGAATTGCTAAGAAAACAAATTAATGTAATTGATAATTGTGAATATTTTTGTAAACTACGGCGACTTCCTTAATAAGTTTAATAACAACATTAAAAAATTGATCCGTGCATTTGAGGGAATTAAAATAAAATAGACATAATATGTCTAGATTATTCAGCCAAACATGCTTGAATGAAGATATGTTGCATATATATATATATATATATAATATGAAAATTTTTTTAACTTATGTTTAATTCGAAATTTCGTTGCTATATAGATGTGACCACTCGTCAGAACAAGTTAAATTGCTGATATTTCTCGATTCTTTTGTACATTTACTGTGGTATGAACATGTTATTTTCCTTTGGCTTCATAGGTGTTGATTAGTTGCTGACTTCTCTTCCTCTCCCTTCCTTTTTTAAAAAAATATTTGTATATTTTTCTTTTCTTTTTTCCCCACATTCTCCGGTGATCTCTGGTTTATTGCTATTGTGTTGACCATTTAATTTAGGTTATAGTTGGATTTTTGTGTAAGTTTGTGCGACTGTGGGTTTATGTGTGTGCATATGTATGTGCACGCATGTATGCAAACATGCACGCGCATAGTCATCCGTACGTGTATGTTTGTGTGCTCATGTATGTGCATCTGTGTGTTTGTGTGTATGTTTGTGTTAAGTGTATATGTATTTTTAGTAGGTTGTATTATTTAACTTAGTTTTTTAACTTTATTTAATGTTTGATACTTGTGTTTAGTTGTATGAAAGAACCGTTTCTTGTTGGTAATGTTGTTAAACTAATTGTTTCTTTTGTATATAAGTATGCGCCTTAAATGTGTGTGTGTCCGTGTTTGCGCGTCTGTGTATTTATGTTTGTGTATATATTTATGTGGGTATGTTTGTAAGCTCGTGCCTCTATATGCGTTTTCGTTTATTCATTTATTTTTCTATTTTCGCTTTTTATATTTAGTGTTTTTTTTTCGTTTTGTAAAGAGTGTAATTGTGGTAATTTGTTTGTGTTTTGTGTGGTTGGGTATTATTTTGATGGTTATTATTTTGTTGATGTTGTGGGTGTTGTGAAGAGCGTTTGTGTGTTTTTGCGTTTTATAAGGGGCGTGGTGGGGATTTGTATGTTTGGTTTTGTGTGTATTTTGTATGGTTGAGTATTATTTTGCTGGTTATTATTTGTTGATATCGTGGTTACTCTTTTCTGAATGCATTGTATTTGGGATTGGTATGGATTAGATGTTAGGTATGGAGGTGTGCGTTTGTGACGGGATTGAGTTTTGTGCTGTATTTTTTCTATTAGTATTTAGGTAGCAAAGTAGATGCTTATTTACATTCCTATATTTCCCCATTATTTCATTCCTCTTGTGCAATAAGCTGTTTTGATCCTTGAAGATCCGTGATCCGTTAATTTTTCTTCCATGCACAAATTACAGTTTCTGCTGTTGCTACTGTGTGAGGCTGCTGTTTTTATAATTTCCAATTTAATCTTGCTAATAATGTTATATTGTTTCTGGCTCCATATGTATTTTGTTAGAGTTGTGTTGTTTTTGTATTTGTCTATTTTAAATGAGGTTTGATGATTGTTAAATCTTTCTTTAAAGGCTGTTTTTGTATTTTCTATGTATTTATTTTTCTTCCGCATTTGTGTTGTGCGTTACGGTGGCTTTATATTCTGTTGGTTAGATATTTGTTGTTAAGTGGGCAATTGTTTTATTTCGATAATTGCATTTGTTGTTGTTATTTTGCTGGTTTGTGTTGTTGCGGTTATTATTGTCTTTGTTAGGTATTTTTAAAATTATGTTTGTTTGTTTTTTTTTCCATATTATTCATGCAGCTTTAACTGATTTTTACTGTATTTTTGTTGATGATTTTTGATAGTTTGTTTTGTTTTGGGAAATGTTTTTCAGTTATTTTGAACAATATATTTCCTATTTTTTATCGTATTATTGTGGGGCATGTTGAACCAAATTATGTTTCTTTTTCTATTTTTTTTATTGGCTTTCATTTATATATTCTAGTTTGTTCGGATAGCAACTATTTCTTAGTAATGTTTCATATGTTTTCTTTTGTTTTCGTTCAGTATTTTTATGTTGTTGTAGTTTGTTGATATTCTTTTGTTTATGTGCTTAAATACGTTAGTGGAGTGGTTGCAGTTTTTCTTGATGTATATAGCGTTGTTGTTTACTTTTTTGGATGGTCTGTGTGTGTTTTTGTTTAGATTGAATGTTATATCTAAGAAGTTTACTATTTTTAGGTCAGATTTTATGTCTATTTTAAATCCTAATGCGTTGAAGGTTTCTATGATCTGTTTTCTTATTTTTTTCTGTAGCTCTATTGTTGTGATATCTTACGATCATTAGGCCGCCGTCTGTGTATAAACCCATGTCTTTTTCATTAATGACGTGTATTAATATATTGATGTATATTCGCATGAGTTCACATAAATTTTGTGTCGTCATAGCTGCCCATTGTTACGTCAAAGTTATGGTCGATATTGGTATTGTTGTTATTATTGGTGTTGCGTTTTTTTTATCCATATTTTGTTGTTGTAGTATAGTATTGACTTTCTGCAGTGTTTAATAATGTTTAAATCTTCCTTTGAAATGTATTGTTTCGCCAGGTCTAGTGCATGCTTTAGCGTGTTTTCATTGATCGATGGGTAGTCTTTTATGTCTGGTTGTATGAAGTTTTTTTGTTGATGATGTTGTTAAACCAATTAATTGTTTCTTTTGTATTTTTTCATTGGTTTATATTTAGTAGGCTCCTTAAGTTTGTTTTTCTCCAATTTGCTTACTTATTTTTCCAATGTTGCTTTTTGTGGGATTTATTTATCTGCATATTGGTTTATTTAAGTCTTTGTGGTCTTTTAATTCAATGAATGGTTCTACTTTCTGTAATTATTTGATTCTGTCGATTAGTTATAATTTAGCGGCTATGGTTTTTGCTTCTTCGTTTATGTTGTTTTACAATTCATTGTTGCTGGTTTGGTAGAATTTGGTATTTCTTTTTCAATTTTTTTTTTTATAGTTGCTTCTTTCTATTTTATAGATGGCTCTGGATTTATCGGCTTCTATCTCTCTATATATATATGCTGTAGGCGCGTGTCTTAAACGTGGTTAAAATATTAGTAGGTTCGATTTTCCCCATGGTCGATTTGTTTTGGCGGTGAATTTTTTGCTAATATCGGTCCATGGAGACAATCTCAGCGGTCTGAAAGTGGTCGAAAACCCTGGGTTGACATTAATGAAATTGGGTAGACGAAACTGTTTGTAGTTGTGATAGCACGAAGTCACTTGTCACCATGATGGATCGTTCAAGATGGCCTTTTTCAAATTGATCACACCAAATTTTGCGCTATCTCCTAGAAACTTTAACTAGTGTATGTTTAGTATAGCTGCAGTAAAAAAATACTGTTTAGCCCTGTACATGGGGGAAAAGCACAAATGAGAGTTTTATACAGGGATTAACTACCTATACTAGCAGAGGGGCGTAGTCAGAATATTACTATGCCTATAGTAGTACTGCACATATCTTGAAATTGCTCCACGCAGAAAAACGTATATCATTATATATATATATATATATATATTCTCAGATGGAGTATATCTGTAGAAGAGACAAAATGAATGAAAAGACCTGAGGAAAACTATACTTAGTTTTTAGCCGACTCGTTTCGTCATCTGACGGACTTTATCAAGGCAAATATGATGGTTATCTTTAGCAACAAGTATATATTTGCCAGTTACTAAAAAATTTTAAATTTAAGAACGTTCATAAATATTCATTAGGTTAACTGAAAAGTTCAGGCGTTAGAACCTAGTATACGCCATATAGCATCGAAAGGAAAATTTAAAATTTAAAGACGTTCATAAATATTCAACAGGTTAACTGAAATTTGTAAATTTTAAAAGTTGAAAATAATGGATTCAGCCGTTTTCCTTAAATTTATCAACATATTTGTTGCGTATATTGGCTTGGGAAAGTAGAAATTTCTTCAGGAAATGTGAGATTGAGAAAAACTGGGGTGTACATTGATATTTTGATATTTGGGTAAATTACTTTTGATGAGTATGGCATTTTTTAGGTCAAAATTGTGGTCGAATTTATTTCTGCGTTTGACTAGTACATTTGTTAAATTATTATTTATAAGGTCTCTTTTGTGTTCATAGACATATTTTTTTAAATTTCTGTATGTCTCCCCAATGTATTGTGAAGAACATTTCAACTTTCGGAGATGTATAATACAAAAAAAAAAAAAAAATTTATTTTCCGATTATACTAAATGACGTAATCTAAGGTCCAAATGGCTACACATCCACTTCACTGCTGTTTCAGATACTATTATATATCCTAAACACACACGCGTGTGCTCTCTCTCTCTCTCTCACACACACACACACACACACACACACACACACACACACACACACACACACACACACACACACACACATATCATTGGACATAAAAATAAATACTGTATGGTAACTGCCAATTTCATGCCTCAAGCGATCTTCTGATTCATGGGACGTGAAACTGACAGTCCTCATACAGTATTGATTTATAGGTCTTAACTTTCTATATCTATAAGCACTTTCCCCCATAAATATATCAAATTTTGAGCAATATCTATCTATCTATCTATCTATCTATCTATCTATAAAACAATGTATGTGTGTGTGTGTGTGTGGGTGTGGCTGTTCACTAAGAGACAGAGAGACAGTTTAAAATAGAAAAAGAGAATCAACAGAAATGCTGTTGATTTTAATTTTCTCGAAGAGATTAGCCAATCACTCGGTGTTCCCATTGGAAACAAGTTCAAGACAATATCGGCTTTAGCCGAGATAAATCGGGTTGTGATAAAACAGCCAAAGTCATTTTTAAGGCTTTGCCTGCTGTGTTAAATTTATTAATGTATTTAAGGCGAAAGCGCCTTAAATTCCTCGAGCATTTAAGTAACTCCTCATTGATATTCCTAAGATAGGAAGTTTTTTGGGTAATTTTCTTTCTCAGAAATTGCATTCTTTTTGGTAATTTTTCAGAGAAAACTCTATAGATATGTACACTGTATTATGAAAAATACGTTTTCCCTAAAAGTTCATGAAATGGAGATAAAATAAGTTCCACTATCGTCCGGTTCACACTCCTCTCCGGTCTTTGAACAGGAGTAGAGGTTTATCCCTTGTTTCCTGTTTAGGATTGGGTTTCCGGTTCCTTCTAAAATTCTCTTTCATTCCCAGTAGCCCTTTGCATTTTACTCGCATTATCACCGTGTTGGAGCGAATTGATTAAAAATATAGATTTATTTTATTTAAAAATTGTGCGGTAGTAACGGTTATTGATGAGGAAATTAGAATCAGCGAGTCGTTTTCAAGTTTCGAGAAATCTTTTGCGTTCGTTTTGCTTTAATGTACTCATTAAAGGTGTGAATCCATCTCTTCTCGCTTTCCCACGTCTCCATGGGTTAAATAGCTGGCTATATACTTGCCTTGTAGTAGCCAGTCTAGGAAATAGACGACTCTGAATTCAAAGCCGCAGAAAAGGTAAAAGGAAACCGCTTCACTATATTTACCAATAATTCACAGCAATTCACCGACAATAAAGAAAAAGGAACCCGTGGAGCGCCATGAACATCTACATTCTGAAGTGATATAGCATAAAAACTAAAACTTTTGGATAGATTTTTGGTTTACTTTTGAAACACTGAGTGGAAAAGCATTTTTTTTCAAACTGTCACGTGATATTAATAAAAACAAAAAAAGATCAGTACTTCCGGACAACTGAGTTTAATACAAGAACCTAAATACTTGAAGTACGATTTATTTGAGAAAACAACGGATTTATCGAATGAGCCAATGTCCCAACCGACACACCGCTCTGTTTATGACCGATCGATCCAGTTTCTGTGCACCGATGTATTCATCCATTCCTGCATTGGAGTGGAAAATATTTTTATAAATGGCTTATATAGCTGCATTCACAATCGTGCTATTCTTGGTGTGACTGTATCAGCTTTTCCCTGGGTTGCTATTTCAGTGCTGAAACTTCAGTAACGACAAAGTATTATCTCGCTAATATCCAATATCCTCGCGCCGATCCTATTAGATTAGAGACGAAAATGGAGGGATTTGCAGTGATAGACGCCACTGTGTTTGTCAGAAGCGGGCAGCTTTCTTTCGTGCAGGCAGTTGATTGAGGGAGGCGGGGCGGGGGTAAACGAAACTGTGGCAGCTGGGAAGGTGGCAGTGGTCGGAGGTGGGAGTTAGTTTTGCTCAAAGAGTCAAGTAGAGCCGTACCCAGCCAAACTTAGCGAAAACGAGTAAAGCTAGTTAAAACGAAGTCGAGTTCGATTTAGTCAAGGAAAACTAAATTCACCGAAAGCATATCAAACTGAGCCGAGTTGGAAAGACACAGAAATGATCGCGTCAAGCTCAATCAAGCTGAACCGATAAAGACAAAAGTAAACGGAGTTGAGCCAGTGGGAAGAGAACCAAGTTCTATCGAAACAAAATGGAAGAACTGAAAGAAATCATGATTTTAACGGTCTTGAAGAGATTAGCCAATGCCATTTGTTGACATTTGTAACAAGTCTTTCTGAACAAAGTTTAGAGCAACAATTATGACTTTCTTCTTCATCTCCTTCTTCTTGCCAAATCACTCCAGAACGTCGATGATAATGACTCTCCACAACTTCCTGTCTTTCGTTGCTAAAAACTTTTGAGACTTTACCATCCATTGTCCTTGTTTTTCCTTCCATTGACTCAGACTTCTTCTTACCAAACCTCTTCAGGACGTCGATGATAATGACTCTCCCCAACATCCTGTCTTTCATTGCTCCAAGTAACGTTTGAGACTTTGTCATCCATTGTCTTTGTTTTATCTTCCATTTACCCAAACTCGTTAAGTAGGTTACCTGCTGATTCCATGCTTTCTTTTGCCTTTAATATAACGGAGATAAACTGGGTTGTGATGAAACGGCTCAAGTCGTTATAGCAACATATAATTCTATTCTCAAGTGCATCCTTTGAAAGTTAAGATTACAGTAAATGACAAGAGATTTAATTAATACTATTGAGGTACCTGTCGCTTCACTAATAGCAAGATGATCAAAATTTAAATCTAGATGGTTGGTACATTTAAATACTTTATTTCTTAGAAAATATATTAATTTTAAATACAGTAAGAGTCAAAGAAACGACTTCAAACGGCCGTCGTTTAATCTTTTTCTTGTTACTCAGGGATTATTGCCAAGTAGAAAGGGAAATTAGTCCTTGCCACACATCGGTCTATTTCAGTTTCATTGAAATTGTGTGTATGCACGTTTACGTGTGCACATGAATATTTTAATTCAATGACTGAAGTAAAAATATTTCTACAAAATTAAAAAAAAAAAAATCATTAAAAATAATTTTATTTGTTATCGTATAATTTCTGTAAATTTCAATAAAATCATATAATTAACTGGTTTTTTTTTTGGTTGAATGTTTTTTTCCTTCTTTCCAATTTTATGATTTTATTACCCAGCCAAGGATAGGGGTTGTTCAGACTGAGTGGGAAAGGAAAGTATTATTCCAATGTCTTAATTCAAACTCAGTCAAATTATTTATGTATACATGTGTGCATGTGTATATATTAAATGGCACAAGCACATGTAAGTCACTTACACACGGACAACACAGACATACGCAGATACATTACATACGCGCATGCAAAGTGACACACAGGAATTATGTGACAGACAGAGAAACATCCCTTCTTTTATAATATAGATTTATGACTTTTTACAAAGGCAGAAATTTAAAAAAAAGCACTAAATTTGAAACAATAAGGGAATTAAAGAATTTCAATGAATACAATTAAAAATATGCATGTGTTTGTACAGACAACATATTAATATATATGTAGACGTATGTATGTACCTATATATGCAATAATATTATATATGCGAATACGTAAGAGATAAGGAAATTGAATACAGAATTGTATACGCTAGGTGTAGTTTCGCCCAACACCGCAAGATGCTACAAAGTCAACATATTAAGTGGAGTGATGTTCTTGAATAGACTCTCATGCGGATGTCATGCATAGCATCCAACTTGTTCAGAAATATCTAAACCATCAGCTGTATATAACCGCTCTCTCAAATCAATGGTTAAATAGCTCTGATCGAATAAACCCTGTTGTTCATAGAAAGGACCATTTTACTGGACTGGCGCCACGGAATCACAGAGAATTGTCACAAATAACAGAAAGCACAATACTTGAATACTTTCACACAGCAGTAATTACCAAATGGATATCATATATAACACGAGGATAATTACATAATTAAGATAAAGTTATTTCACACTGTTTCAAACAAAAGGTTGGGAAGAAACCCCCACCCACCCTCATCAATACTGCAATGTGCAATGACAGTAAACTTGAAAAACCTATTTTTTCTGAGAAATTGTTTTAATAGAAAGATTTTTTAAATAAATTTCAGCTGAAAGTAGCCCACGTTTTGCGGTCAATGGATGCCCAATGTTTTCTAATAGTATCATTACCATTTATAGGCGTGCGTGTGTGAAACAATATGACAGTTTGAGAAGGAACATACAATATGTATTTGTGTATGGGTCAGTGAACATCTTTAGATTCATAGCGGTCTTATTGATAGAATCAAACTGGAGAAGAGTAGGGAAAGAATGCAAAAGAACTGGTTACAGTTTACAATGAAATGTTAAAGAAATATAGACGCTCAGCTTTAAATTAAAATTTTGATGTTCTTTATATTTAGATGTTTAAAAAATGATCGCTACTGATTTTAATTGTTCCACATTGTATCAGCAGAAGTTTTGTGAAAAAAGATATCTATAGGGTGTTTCATTATGACGGATTATATAAAAGGATGTTTCATTAAGACGGATCAAAGTCAGCAGTAAATAAACCAGTGTTATTGGTGACAATTTATTTATTTCTCTATTGGATCATATTATTTAAGCCATGGCAATTATGAGTGAAAAATAATATCGCCCAAATGTCTGCCAATTCTGAAAGAAAAAGAAAAAAATCATTAGACGCTGAAACTTAATTCAGATTTAAAATCGGTCCAATTTATTGGAACACCCTTTATAATTCTAGATGTAAATTTACCACAGAGGATTCCAAATTAGTACACTTTTAAATATATTTTTATATGCTAATGTTCACCTAATAGAAGCCTCAAGACCCACTCAGGGATACTCTGTGGTATTGTATGAGCGTAAGAAAAGGCAAGAAAGGAAGTTAATAAGTTTATGCAGAATAGATAACGGTTAACACTATCTTGCCACTTTAAAAAACCATAAAAGAAAGAGAAATGTCCATGTATTTTTCCTCTCTTGTGTGTGCATACAACAACAGCTTTCAGTATCTCTCTAGTTTGAGTGGCTCCTAGGCCGTGTATAGGGTAAACATTATTTTAAAAAATTTTCCAGAGAGATTGTTTCCCTAGAACTAGACAACGTTTCAAATTTCCAAGTCATGTAAAAAATAAAAAAAAAATAAAGAAACGGATATATTAAAAAATAAATAACTTTCCTCTATGGTACCCAGACTTTATGAATTTAAGCGTAGTGCTAGATTTGCAGCAAGATCTCATCATTTTGCAGTTAAAATGGCTAGATGTAACCCTAAGTTCTATGCTAACAGTTTCTTCTATCGCACTTCTTGCTTGTGGAACTCTCTTCCGGCTTCTTTCTTCCCAGTCATCTTTGATCTTCAAAAATTTAAATGCAATGTTAATCGTTATCTTATGTCTTCTTAATTCCTTTTCTTTTATTGTTCTCTCTCTTTAATTAGTTTTTTCACTCATATTCTCTAACGCTCAGTAAACCCTCTTGCGTCTTAGTATCTTTATTGTCTTGCTTGGGGTGAAATGATTACAAAAAAAGAAAGAAAAAAGTCTAATTTATTCCAAAAAGCCCTAATACTAAATCCTAAAAAACATCCTAAATTCCAAAATTTTATTCCTAAACCCTAACTTAATCCTAAAAACATTTTATTCCAAAATGACCTAATCCCTAATCCTAAAAAAACTTTATTCCAAAAAGACCCTAATCCTTAATCCTAAAAACACTTTATTCCAAAAAAACCTAATCCTAAAAACCTTATTCCAAAAAAAAATTTAAAAACATTTTATTCAAAAAAGACCTAATTCTTAATCCTAAAAACACTTTATTCCAAAAAACCTAATACTTAATCCTAAAAACACTTTATTCCAAAAAAACCTAATCCTAAACCCTAAAAACATTTTATTTCAAAAAAGACCTAATCCTTAATCCTAAAAACACTTTATTCAAAAAAACCCTAATCCTTAATCCTAAAAACACTTTATTCCAAAAAAACCTAGTCCTAAACCCTAAAAACATTTTATTCCAAAAAAGACCTAATCCTTAATCCTAAAAACACTTTATTCCAAAAAACCCTGCGATATCTGGCACATTTACAACAAATGCGAGAAAAGTCTAAGGAACATCCTACAATGATTGGACTATTTGAACCTTGAAAATCTGCAGCATTTTTTTACTTGATATAATATCATAATCATGGATCTGGACAATGGTCACTTCCAATCTCTCTCCAATATATCATTCGACACTGATGTATCGCATCTCATTGCATCTTTCAAGTCGCCACCATCACGTTGTTTCGCTCAGTCACTAGCGATGTCTGCCTCATTTGCGTCAGAGAAGAACTCTCTGAACTCAATAGGAATATCTGACAATGACGTATCTATCGATTATTTTCGACGTGTACGACATCTTTCTTAATAACAGAATCGCGAATATTTTACTTTCCTTCCTTTCTTCATTTTTTTTCTTTCCTTTTCATATTTCGTGAGCTGACTTCTGATGAGCATTCGATGCATTTTTATTTTACGAGTGGCGATCAGCTTTCGTTAGTTTTCTGTCTTATTTCCAATTCTACGACTATTTCTCTCTCTTGTCTAAGTCAGAAATCTACCCGCGGGGAATTAAAAGTGTGCTAGACACGAATACGACAATTAAAAAAAAATCGAGAGATAAAGATTTGTAGTTCGACGATTAAATAGATGTGTAAAGACTGGGACATATATATATATATATATATATATATATATATATATATATAGATAGATAGATAGATAGATAGATAGATAGATACATAGATAGATACATAGATAGATACATAGATAGATTGATGTATCCATTGTTAAGTATGAAGAGGCTTAACGCAAATAATAACTGATTGGGATGAAAGAAGGAAAAGAAACAGATATGTTTCCCAAAAAGTTTAGTGAAAAAGTGAGAACATTTTAGTGGGAAATAAAGAAATAAAAGTGCAGTATTAAAAAAAACTTCCGGTGAGAGAAAAAGAAAAGCGAGAGGAAGAAAAGAGTTCATGATAGATAGATAGATAGATAGATAGATAGATAGATAGATAGATAGATAGATAGATAGATAGAATGAGAGAGGGGAAAGAGAGGGAAAGAGAATGAGGGGAAAGAGGAAAAGGGTGATATCGAGAGAAAGGTTGAGATAGAGTGAAAGAAAGATAGAGTAAAAGCGAAGGAAAGATAGAGAGAAAGAAAGGCAGAAAGAGAAAAAAGGGAGAAAGAGAAAAAAAGGGAGAAAAAGAGAGATAAAGAGAGAGAAAGCGATACACACACACACACACACATATATATATAGGATAGAAAGCGAGAGAAGGAGAGATAAAGAGAGAGAGAGAGAAAGCGATATATATATATATATATATATATATATATATATGTATAGCAGAGAGAGAGAGAGAAGAGAAAAAAAATATTGTCAAGGAGAGAGAGAGAGAGAGAGAGAGAGAGAGAGAGAGAGAGAGAGAGAGAGAATCCAGGAAAAGTGAAATAAAGAAATTGCAGCGAGCGTAAAAATAGTGTACGACGCAAAAGAAGACAGTTATTATGGTGCTGCCATAAGTGTGAATGAGAGGTGCCCAAGGCGAAGTAATATATATGTATATATGTGTGTGTGTGAGAGAGAGAGAGAGAGAGAGAGAGAGAGAGAGAGAGAGAGAGAAAATTTAAAAAAATCTCAACAGGAGAAGTAAGCATGAATGTATGTACAAATTCAAATTCACGAATCCAAGTTAGATATGCAAAAAAACAAATAAGTATTTTGCCAAATTACATTACAGTTAGCAAACTGTCAAAGCACGCATGTGCACAATAGATACAAAGGGATATTGTATGGCGAGCGAAATATTAGAGGCATAGAAAGAGAGAAAAACAAACATTAAATATGCATTATACATCTATGTCCATATAGGTTATATATAGAGTGGGGGGAAACAAATATTTGTACATATACAAATTTTTAATTTATTGCATTTCCAACTAACGAATAAATATACTTTTCATTTAATTAACTGTACACAGATGCTTAATGACTAATTATGCATAGATAACAGAAAAAATTAATTTAATAGAAATAAATCCCATTTAGCCATTTTTATGGGTGAAAAAAGTATTCGTACAATGCAAATTTCAGATTTTAAAACTTTTAAATTCCTTTAATACTCTAGTGGAATGTTCTATAATGTTCCAATACTGTTATCAGTAGTTATTCTTAGCCTACAAAATACAAACAGAACATTCTATAATTAATATTTGTGAAAGAAGGTTTTCATCATGGCAAATGGTGAAGAAGTGACAAATTAGAAAAAAAGAACTGATTGTTAAGCTCTGGAAAGAAGGTAAGTTACAGTAAAACCTCAGACAACCCGAATATTCCATTTAATAACATTAGTTCATTCATTACAAAATAAAAAAACCCTCAAAACTGTAAAAAAAAAAAAACAAAGAAGAACAGGTGCTCCATGGAAGATTTCTGCAAGTTCTTCGAGGAAATTAATGCGTCAAATTAAACAAAATCCAATGGTTACTCGTCAAGAGTTTCAGGGTGATTTGCTTTCATCAGGAATATGTGTCATTAAACGGACAATAAGCAATTAAATTCATAGGAACAATCTAAAGTCACACTCCCTCGAAAAACTCCATTGCTATTGAAAAAACACAGAGATGCCAGGTTGAAATTCGTCCGTGAACATAGGGATAATGAAAAATCGTATTGGGAAAGACTATTATGAAGAGACGAAACCAAAATTGAATTGTTTGGACGTAATTCTAGAAATCATGTATAGAGGAAATATGGCGATGCCTTCAAACAAAAGAACTCAGTTCCAGCAGTGAAATTTGGTGGTGGCAGCATCATGGTTTGGGGATGTTTTTTCTGTAAAAGGTACTAGCATCATATCAGTAATAGATGGTAGAATGAATGCCGCATTTTGGAAGCAAATTTAATGATTTCGGTTGAAAATCTTGAACTTCCTACTGATTAGATCTTCCAAAAAGATAATGATCTTAAGCACACTGCAAAATCTACGAAGAAATAGCTTACTAAAAATAATGTAAATATCATGAAATGGCCAAGTCAGTCCCCAGATTTAAAACCAATCGAGAATCTGTGGCGTAATTTGCAAATTCAAATCTAGACGAGAGCTCGAACAAACATCCCAGATCTGAAGACCAAATGCGAAGAAGAATGGAACAAAATACCAACTAAAATTTGCAAATCATTAATTGAGAATTACAAGAAGAGGTTGGTTGCTGTAGAAGTGAATAATGACTATTCTACAAAGTATTAAATGAAGTTTATGTATTCCTTTTTTGCATTTCTTTTTTCACCTATTAAAATGGCTAAATGTGATTTATTTCTATGAAATCATTTTTTTTGTTTTTATGCATATATAGTTATTATACATCTCTGTACAGTTAATTATGTGAAAAGTATGTTTCTTCATTATTTGGAAATACAAAAAATTAAAAATTTGTAGGTATACGAATATTTGTTTTCCCCCTGTCACTATATATATATATATATATATATATACCAAATCAGTTGAGTTTCGATCCCGGCTTGAGGCAATCGGATGTCTAATCAAACTGATGGGCTGTGAAACAGCGAAACTGTCTGTGGATGACAATATATACATTCTCCTGAAAAAATGAGCTCTTCGGGGTGAAAAGTGAATTTTTTTAAACAGTGACTATTACTGCTGCTGATGCAAGACTTTTCGTTAAGACGAATCGACTTATCCAGTCACTGGCGCGTTTATCTAAAAATAAATACGTCTAAATTCAGCTTCATCATGCCTTAGGGGTAAAATCTCAGACTGATACCAAATCAGTTGGGTTTCGATCCCGGCTTGAGGCAATCTGATGTCTAGCACTGATGAGCTGTGAAACTGCGACACAGTCTGTTGACTATATATATATATATATATATATATATATATATATATATATATATATATATATTTAAAATATGAGGTACATTTAGGTAGCACGTATTCACCCAAACAAGTGAGATAAAAAAAAACCGATATGGTTTGTCTTTGACATTTTATTGTATTATTCCAATTTTTGAATACGGTGTTGTTTATTGGGATCAAAATTGTGAAGAAACTGTCCAAAGGTCATGTTTCTGTTGTTGTTTGTTCAGGGACTTTCGACCGTCGCAGTTATTTTCAAGAACCAATGCGATGCCTGTGTGCAAAGCAGAATTCTTTTCAGCTTCCTAAAAAAAACGACCATTCTGCAGAGGTGGGATGGGTGTAATATGAACGCCAGCGTTACAGTGGTCGCTTGGACTGGACAATTTTTGTCCTTGAACCATTAACTCTATTCTTCTAACGTCTCCCCCTAAACTCTGTAAGTTTATTTAATATTTATTTCTTTTATTTTTCCTCAAAAGTTTCGGCTATCGAGTGGTCCAGACTCCAGCATGTTCTCTTGAACAGGAGAAGAGTCTTATCCCTTGTTTCCTGTTTAGTATTAAGTTTCTGGCTCCTTCTAAAGTCTTTTTCACTCACTGTAGTCATTTACGTCATAGTATCATTATCACCTTGTTTGAAGTGAATTGATTAAAAAAATATATGTAGTCGTATGGGTATTTCTCATTAAAAACACTTTGTGTCCCACCCGTAGTGAAGTCAGATATATAAAATCGAAACCTTATCGTAATGTTATTCGTTTTTAGTTTTCGATTCATAAATAAACAAGAGGCAGAAAACTTAAAAAATTAAATTTAAATCTCAGCGCCCCCTTTTCTGTTTTTCAAGTTAAATATTGGTAAAAACATTTTTTGGAAAAAATACTGATTTTATCCATTATTTTTCCTTATACTTCATATTATACGTTGTTCACAATTACTTGGTGCACCACTCCACCGTATCTATCTATCTATCTATCTATCTATCTATCTATCTATCTATCTATTCCTGGCTGTTCCTACCTACCTATCTTACTATTTTATGTTTGTGCATGTTTTGTCATAAGAGACATGACGAAAGAGGTTAATGAGGTAATGAAGACAGAAGATATGCAAATTAATTATTCTTTTTTTCTTCCCTCTCTTCTAACTTTGATTGTCTTTGATTCCAACTCACCTCTCCCTACTTTCATTTTGCTCCACTCTCTCCTTTCTGCTCATTCTTTCGTTTGTTACAAATTTATGCAACGACACGTCACTGCACAGGGTACCATTCACTTTTCAACATATACACCTACCCTGAACACGCACACATAGCGACAGGTGCGTACGTCAAATATATATATATATATATATGTATATATATATATATATATATTGGGAGAGAGAGAGAGAGAAAGGAGAGGGAGAGAGAGTCATGCAAAGATAGACTGTTTCGCTGTATCATAGCTCATCAGTGTGGCTAGACAACCGATTGTTTCATGCCGGGATCGAAACCCGACAAATTTGGCATGTCAGAGATTCTACCCGCAAGCAAGAAAGGGAAAATTTGGCATCAGTAAGGGAAATTTTAACGTTTTTACTATACGAAAGACGTCAGTGGGTAGAAGAGCTCGATTCTGGGTGAAGAGCAGTGCATGAACAGCAGCAACCACTGTTTATGAAATCACCCCTTTCTCTCCGAGAGCTCAATCGAATTATTTCGAGAGCACACACACACACACACACACACACACACACACACACACACACACACACACACACATATATATATGTATGTATATATGTATAGGGTGCGATGGATAAATTGTCGTCATTATATATTTTTAATTTTGCGAATGCGCGTTTGTTTCTTTTTGATTTTGTCGACTGCACAGTATAGTAGGGTCAGTTGGGCACCGTCTGTGCGAAAAAGCGCTGCAGATTCGTTCTGTCTGAAATTTGGGAATGACATGATGTAGGGTTTGGCATTTGTACCGGAAGCTCCAATACGACCATTTCAAAGTTTTGGGGTGTCACTCTGAGGATTGGATGATGTATGCAGTCAACATCATGGTGTTTGGAGTGATCACTAGTAATGGCGACGTTATGCCATAATTCAACTTCCCTCAGACACAACACTGTAGCCTACATCAAGTGCCTTGACGAGGTACAGATGTCCTGGGTCAAGAGGGTGGCTAATTGTTGGGGCCAGAATAAAGACACAAGAGTGGATCTGAGTTAACAAATATATTAAAGAAAATTGGTAATACAATAATATACAAACGAGCAAGAATGTTAAGTCCGAACTGTCAGAGCTGACTGTTGGGAAAGAAAACTCTCTCTGACAAAAAAGAGTTCATCCGTGTATGGGTAATTTACCATAACACTACTGGAAGACCCTATGTCTGGCAACAAGACTCTGCACAATGCCACACAAGCAGGAGAACACAGTCATGGCTATCATATAATATCTGCAACCACATAACCCTTTAAATATGCCCCCCCACTCACAGACTGAAACCCCTTTGATCATTATGTGTGGGCGAAACAGACAAATAAAACTCCTTGTAACACCAAAGATGAACTAAAGGCAAAGATTATGGCTGCATTCACCAACTTAAACAAGGTGACTGTCCAGAAGAGTGGCAGGAGATTCCGAAGTCGTCTGGAAGCTAATGGTGATTTCATTGAATAAACTTACTCTTTCGTACGTATTTCAAGATATGTTTGTGTAATTTTGGTAAATACATCTGTTAAATTTATCCATCACCATATATATATATATATATATATATATATA